CTATTCTATTCTATTCTATTCTATTCTATTCTATTCTATTCTATTCTATTCTTTATTCTATTATTTTTTAACCTATTACTATTCTATCCTTTTATTCTTTAGTCTATTTTTAATTCCTATTCCATCCTAATTCTGTTCTATTTTATTCTCTTTTCTATCCTACTTTATTCTATTCCAATTCTCTTACTCTATTTCCCATTCTTATTCTTGATCTATTTTTATTCTTATTCTCATCTTATTAATACATTCTATTTCCTATTCTTTTTCTTGAGCTAGTCTTGTTCTAGTCTATATTAATTCTAATTTTAATTCTATTCTGATTTTAATTTCTAGTTCTAATTATATCAAAGATTCTATTCTATTCTATTCTATTCTATTCTATTCTATTCTATTCTATTCTATTCTATTCTATTCATTTTCTCTCTTTTTCTTTTTCTATTTTCTATTTTCTATTCTCTATTCTCTATTTTCTTTCTCTATTTACTATTTTCTTTTTCTATTTTCTATTTTCTATTCTCTATTCTCTATTTTCTATTTTCTTTCTCTATTTACTATTTTCTGTTTTCTATTTTCTATTTTCTATTTTTTTTTCTATTCTATTCTGTTTTTTTATTTTCTACTCTTCTTTTCTCTTTCCCACATCCCATCCCATTTTATTCCACCGTATTTCCTGACTCTGGCACAGCAGCCCAGGTGCAGTTTGGGTTTCCCTAGGGATATCTCCACAAATCGAATGGAAAAGATTCCAGGGAGAAGAGCTGGAAAAACGCCTCCAAAACCTCCCTGGGAAGAGGGGCAAAAACTGGGAAAGGAGCCTCACTTAATCCAATTAATGCCATAAAAACAGGAAGTTGGGATTAACTGGAAAATTCTGATTTTTAAATGAAAACGTGCCAAAAAAAAAAAAAAAAAAAAAAGCAAATTTTCAGGGAATTATTGCCGTGGTAAAATCCAGTCTGGGTGCTGGATTTTGGCTGGATTTGAATTCCATCCGTGCTGGATGCAGAATTCCCGGGATTGAGGTACAGACACAGGGTCCTGCCCAGATTTCTTGATTTTCGGGACTTCCTCGTGCTCGTATTTCATTTTGATGGCGTGCTCACTTTGTTTTAATTAATTAACGAACATCTGAACCCAGCCCTTGCTTCTGCTCATTAAGAACTGTAATTAACAGTGATTGATTAATTGATTAATTGATTGATGGATGGATGGATGGATGGCACAGCCGGTCTGTGTTCTCTCCTGCTGAATTCCCGCTTGGATTCTCCTGGAAATTGTAAATATTTCAATTCAAATAAAAGAAATGAAAGAAATAAAAAAAGGAATAAAAGCGTTTTTGGGTCTCCCCGGGTGAAAATTCGAGTTGGGTTTGGGTTCAGGCTGCAGAGCTCGGCTTTGTCTCCAGCTTTGTTAAACCGGCCCTATAATAAAATTAAAAATTAAAAACTCCCCCATTTTCTCCTCTCGCCCTCGGGGGGTGGTGAAAGCCAAAAAATCGTTTTGAGTTTGGTCTAAAAAGAAAAAATTGAGTTGAAAGGATCGAGTTTTTAAAAAATCCCAAAATAATGTAAAAATGGACTTGGAAAAAATGGGAATTTTCATGGGAGCCCCAGGGGCCAAAGGTGGGGCTTGAGGGGAAATTTTAGTGCTGGGCACCAGGAAAATAAAAATAATTAAAATAAAATTTAAAACTTGTTAGTAATAGTAATGATGAAAAATAGAAATAAATAGAAATGAAATATAAATATAAATACAAATAATATAAATATAAATATAAATATAAATATAAATATAAATATAAATATAAATACAAATACAAATACAAATACAAATACAAATAATAAAAATAGAACTAGAACTAGAAATACAAATACAAATATAAACACATATATTTATAAATATAAATATAACAATATAGACATAACTAGAAATACAATTAGTTAATAATAAATCAAGAATGCAAAATAGAATTTCACCATATAAATATAATAGTAAGAATAGTAATGCAGTAAAAATAAAATAAAAATTAACAACAATAAGAACTATAAAATATAATAACGTGTATTAGTAAATGCAAAATCAAATACAATATGTAATAAAATATAAATAAGAAAAATTATATAATAAAACATAATATATAGAGTATAATAATATATAATGAGTGCATAAGATATTTAATAAACCATATTAATAAATATATAATAAAATTAGTGAATATCTAATGAAACATTATTAAATATCTAATGAAATATGGATAATATAGAAAATAACTAACATGCATATAATAAATTTGTATGTAATAATAGAATGTAATATATAATATACAATAATAGAATGTAATATATAGAAAATAAATATATAATAGAGTGTATTATTAAATATATAATAAAATCTATTAATATGTAATACTGTAAATGATATAAAAAATGAAGAGGTGAAACATCTTAATATATTTTTAATATGTTTTAAATGTATAATTTGTTATATTTAAATTAATTATAGATTTATTTAAGTTAATATATTACCTAACAATCTCGTAAATATTATAGATAAATATGACCTATTTATATTAAGTATTAAATATGATTTATTATGTAATGTATGTAAATTAGAATATGATTATATAAAATTATATTTATAAATGAACCTATAGGAATATCTATTATATAAATAAATATCTATTATATAAATAAATGGATATAATGTAAAGATACACGTCAAAAATATAAATACATATAAAATGAAATATAGAAAATTATATAATATAAACATATATAAAATAATAAATACATAAAAAAATAACCATATATGCCAAATGAATAATATAAAATATTACTCCCCTCTCCAAGGAGAAATTATATAACATAATTAATATTAATTAGCAATGCTGCTAAGTCCATGTTTTGGAACTAATTTAATTTTTTTAATTAAATTTATTTTTTAACTAAATAAACCAAAGTGTTTTCTTTTTCTGCTCATCAGCACCTCACAAATCTATTTATTAAAAATTCATATTCTATTTTTATTTTATGTTTTATGCTTTCTATTTTGGGGTTTATATTTCACGTATTGTATTTTTTAATTCTATATTTTATAGTTTTTATTTTACATTTGACACATTATATTTTATATTTTACATTTAATATTTTGTATTTTGTATTCAATATTTTTATATTTTAAACTTTATATGTTATGCATTCTATTTAATATTTCATACATTGTGTTTCATATTTTTCACTTTTTATTTTATATTTGACATTTATATTTTACATTGATATTTTACATTTTAGAGTTTACATTTTATATTTTTCATTTTATATTTTTCATTTTATATTTTTCATTTTATGTTTTATATTCTACATTTTACATTTCACGTTTTTCATTTTATATTTTACATTTCATATATTTAAAACCTTT